TTGAATTTCGGAATGCCAAAGGTTTGAACTTCAACTTCTCAAACTTCAAAAGACAGAGACACGTCGGTCTCGTCGCCAACACAGCTCTTCAAGTAGGATATAGTATTCTGTATCACAAAATTGTTTGTGACTTCATATACGATGTCCGATATCCATGTAAGATCACCATGCTGTTATCCCCTATTTTACTACCTCCCACAATGCATAAAGAAGGTACTATCATGTAATGGATAAATCAAGTCACTACGTCGTTCTTTTTTCCTCTAAGTCAGAATTGTCATTCTCCCTCCGCATCGAGATTCACTTTCGTGTCGTAAAATTGTGTTTGATGGACTGTTTGAAACAGCTCCTTCTTAAAGTCTAAGTGCACGCGGTAAAAATTATATGATTATGGGTTTAAGGTAATGTATACAACCCAACCCAGTCCGATCCGACCTAGATTTAACATGGTGTTTACTTCTTCCGGTTAAAGGTAATGACGGTATGTAAGCCACAATAAATAAATCACTTACAAATTTTACTATCTCTCCCTCAATTGTCCTCGCCAAAGCAAAGACTCTTCAAATCTTTTCTCCAGCCCCGACCTACGATGTTCTGAGCCCAACGACCAATCCTCTATGCAAGATTTTTCGACGAAGTTAGTTGTCGACAAGTTTTACGGGAACAATTATGTCATGTGGAGCCGTAACATGCGTGGCGTGTTCCGCACCAAGTCGGTGTGGCACGTGGTCAACCGAGATGCGACTCCGTCGTTTAGTGATACCCGCCCCAGTGACGAGTACGTCAGAGCCAGCAACATTGCATTTTGTCTGTCCCTACTGCATATGGACGCGGACTATCGTAATGTGGTTGACGACTGTGTAGAAGTCTTTGCTGCCTGGATTCGAATCGAGATGCTTTACGGTGAACCACAGAAGGCTGAACGCATTTACTTGAATAGTCAACTATTCAGCATGGAGATGGCGAAAGGCGACAATGACTTGCATCATTGCAACGAGGTATTCAACTATAGAGCTAAGCCCAGCAGCACCGGCGCCAAGATGGAAGATGAGGACATCGCAATTTGTCTGTTTCAAAGTCTATCCAAGAGCTACGGGAACCTCGTACTCAACTTGAATGAGCAGTGCAGAGCAATGGACGCAAGACGTTGTGAAGGTGTTAATAACGAGTACATAGAGCGACAAGGTAAAAAGACTAAAACGGTGAAGACTATAGACGCGGCTAAGGCTTTCAGTGCCGAAAAAGAGTCCCGCCAGTGCACTCATTGCGGTAAATTGGGGCATAGGTGGAACGATGCTTGACCAAGCGAAAGGACGATATTCGCGGTGCAACATTGTGAGCGCGGAGCTAGCAAAGTTCAATATCGGTACAATAACGACAACGATTACGATCGAATCGCGTTTTCAGTATCCCTGGAATGCTACCTTTCGTCTGGTAAAGAAATGACGGGTACTTGGCTATTGATAGTAGTGCTACTCACCACATTTGCTACACCAAGTCGAAGTTTGTGACCCTGGATGAGCAGGACCGTGATAGCCGACGGAAACAAGACTGCTAGCATGGTGCTGGGCACTATAATCGAGCAAGTAGTAGATCTAACAAACGGCGACATACGCGATATCGAGATGAAGGACACGCTTTAAGTTCCAAAAAATGAGCAACAACCTGCTGTCCGTTCCGCAGATTAATAAAAGCGGTTGCATTCAAGTAATGTTTGATGGAGCTAGCATGGACATCGCAGTTAAAGAATTAAAGAAGGTGGTGGCGACAGCTGATCTGGTTGATGGTCTTTATTTGCTGAGAACTTCACAGCGATATGTCAGCATGGTAGAGTCAAGTTATAAGATTGACCTTTTTGCGCATATGGACCACGCACCAAATGGTGTTCTTCGAAGATGATTGCTATCGGAGTGATCAAAGACACCTCTCCTGCATCGATGTCTACATTGCCAAGAGTTTGTTGTGGGTGTCAAGAGGGTAAGATGGTTCAAAAACCATTTCCAAGCAACCCTGATTAGCGTCAGTGTGCCGGATTCAAGCTACTACGCTTCAAAATTTACGGTCCGATGGAGCGAGAGTCGCTTGGTGGAAGCAGATACCTACTACGGATTGTTGACGAGGCCAGCGGATGCATGAAGGAAGAGTGCTTACAAGCTAGGTCGGGCAGCGAAAGTGCGATCAAGAGATCCATACTCATAATGCAGACGCAATTTAGAAAAAGGCAAGTTTGTACGACATGACGGAACACGCGAGTTTGCTCAAGATAATCTACGAAGACGAAGGCATTGAGCAGCAAGTCACAGTTCCATATGCACATCAAACTTATGGAATATCTGAGCAGTCCATATGACTATTGGACGCAGTATGCTTCATCACGCCAAGCTAGATAAATGCTTTTGGGGCAAAGCTGCCATGACGGCAATATACATCAAGAATCGACTCCCGACCCCAAAAATGTATAACAAACTGCTTTCAACATTAAGCACGAGTCTAAGCCAAGCTTCAAGCATATGCGCATTATCGGGTGTCGGGTTTGCGTTTTGACTCCGAAGGAAAAGCGGCTTAAATGGGACCCCAAGTCTCGAGAAGGTGTGTTTGTGGGATATGAAGAATATTCTCAAGCGTATCGATAATATGACATTCAGACCTGATAATTCGAGATGTGACGTTTGACGAGTCGTGTTTTGGTGATTTAGAGTGGACATTCTTGATGACGTTGATGCAGCAAACCTGGACTTTGGCTTGCTTGAGATTGAAGACGACAAGTATCTTTACAAAATAAATTTCAAGCAAACAGGTTAACGCAAACTGCGAACGCAAGACCGCAAGCAAACATGTAAAGATCAGGGTGTAAATATTGTCAAGCAGGCCTAGAAGAAGCAAGTGCCCCTGAAGAAATGAGCTTACGTCGAGTCATACGGTAATATCGCGTTCAAAACGTGTCGAGATCCGGTCAAGAAGTGCATGATTCCGGGGATGAATACGTTGATATCACTCCTTCGGCTTTATGGCGTGCAAGTGTGAGCGCAGTTGAGACTAACGACCTATTGGAGCCGACCTTTTACCACGATGCTCCGAGTGATCCTGATCAGCTTCATTGGCGCAAAGGTATTTTCAAACTTAACTCGATGCAGCTTCGTGGAGTATTTCGAGCCTCAAAATTACCGTCAGGACAACATTTTAACAACACCAAGTGGATATTCATGATCAAGCGCAAAGCTGGCGGCTCAGCTGAAAAATACAAGGCACGGATCGTCGCAAACGGCTTCAGACAAAAACATGGAGTTGATTACACGGAAACATTTTCGCCTGTGGTCAAGAACGTGACTTTTCGAATTGTGATTGCTTTGACTAAGTTGATCAAATGGAAGTTGTAACAGCATTTTTATGAATTTATGATGGAAGTTGTTTACTGCGAGGTACCAGGAGGGATCGAGCTTGACAAGAATTATGACTGTCTTGAGCTTGTCAAGGCAATTTATGGACTCAAGCAAGCTTCTCGCGTATGGAATGATCCTTTGACGAATGTGTTTGCACAATTGGATTACAGATTTCTGATTTCGATCCATGTTCTTACATTAATATTGTGGAAAGTCACTGCGTGCTACTTCTGGTTAATGTCGGCGATATTCTGGTTACTTGAAGCTCAACGGAGCTATTCGAGCAAACGAAGACTAGCTAAAGAATCGCTTTGAAATGACCGACAGTGACAACTATGTGTTTGTTCTGGGCATCGAGTTAATAGACAATGACGACGGCAGCGCAACAGTGTATCAGCGGCGATACGTCGACGACATAAACGACTTATTAAGCTATTTGGCATGGATGATGCAAGCCGGTGATAAGTCCAACAGAATTAAGAAGCTCTAGGCTCATACCAAGTGACACTTCGACAAAAGTAAGCGCATCATTTCGGGAATCTATGGGAGCTTCCAGGCATCTGATGACGGCGACACGGCCGGACATTGCATTTGCTGTTGGTTATGTGCCAAGATTTATAGAGAATCCACAAGCCGAGCACTGGGCGGCGATTACGCGTATTTTTTGCTATTTGCACAAAGCCTCATAGAATTTGTTTCCAGCCTGGCGACAAAGTCGACTTTCGGGTATATCCTGATGTACACTGGACAGGTGACCATACGGATCGCAAGGCTATGCTTTCATATTGATGGGCGGGCCAGTCATTTGGGAAAGCAGAAAGCAGTCAAGCGTGTCATTGTCAACCAGCGAAGCGGAGTACATAGCGTAGAGTTTGACGGTTCGAAGGGGCAAGTGGGTGCATCGTTTACTGTGTGAGATTCTACACGCGGCTGGTGAGTGTGAGGGTTATGATTTTCAGGTTAGATACAGTCCAATCCAACCGCGGTTTAACATTGTTTTTACTTTCTCCAGTTAAAGGTAATCACGGTATGTAAGCCACAATAGATGAATCACTTCCAAATTTTACTTCCTCTCCCTCAAGTGTCTTGGCCCAAATCAAAGACTCTTCAGCTCTCTTCTTTAGCCCTGGCCTGCGAATATCATAAATCTGATCAAAAGATGCTAAGACCTGCCATATCGATCAATTTAAAACTTATAAAATTGGGATTGCCTTGTTGCAGATTGTATATGAGTGCCCACTCTCGATCAAAACCTTCCATTTTCGAGATCACAGGCGCGAGGTGGCTTCGCTCTCTTGTATGCATGGACAATCACGTCGCTAGTATTCCAAACCTCAAACGTCAGAAGTCAAGGCCGAAGTGTCGTGTTGAGCAGACAATTTATGTGAAAAATGAATAAGGCAGCACTTTGCAAAGCACCAATCAGCTTAAATGTTTATTGCTGCAGTTTTTTCTTTGGTGACGTGACAAACAAAAAACTGCTGTACAATTACGTCATCTCTCACGTGATTGGTTAAATTGTCAAATTGTAGGATTTCTAGTTTCTGGTTGATGTATGCGGTCCTGACATTTTGAAATTCCCTCTATCAAACCCCAAGCGATCCTTCTCATCTTCTAACTATGGCTGATCACGTTGATAAGAAGCCACGAATTAGCGAGGATCTGTGCATTAATACAATTCGCATGCTTTCAGCTGATCAGCCGACAGCTGGAAAGTCTGGCCACCCTGGTGCTCCAATGGGTTGTGCCCCCATGGCTCATGTGCTTTTCGGCAAGATCATGAAATTTAATCCAAAGAATCCCAAGTGGAGCAATCGTGACCGTTTTGTATTGTCAAATGGCCATGCATGTGCACTTCAGTACAGCATGTTACATCTCACAGGTTACGATTTGCCTCTTGATGAGCTTAAGAAGTTTCGTCAGTGGGGCTCAAAAGCCCCGGGCCATCCTGAGAATTTTTGCACGTCTGGTGTTGAAGTATCAACTGGTCCACTTGGTCAAGGAATATCAAATGCTGTGGGTCTTGCCATGGCAGAGAAACACTTGGCCGCCGAGTTTAATAAAGATGGACTCAATATTGTCGATCACTATACGTACGTGATCTGTGGTGATGGATGTCTGCAAGAAGGAGTTTCATCAGAAACTTCGTCTTTGGCAGGACATTTGGGCTTAGGGAAGTTGATTGTATTGTATGATGATAACAAGATTACAATTGATGGTCATACAGACATCTCGTTCACGGAGGACGTGATGAAGCGCTATGAAGCGTATGGTTGGCATGTGCAGTACATTGAGGATGGAAATTATGACCACGCTGCGATTCATCATGCAATTGAGACGGCAAAAGGAGTGACTGACAAACCTTCGCTTATTAAGATTCATACAACCATTGGTCTTGGCTCTAAACTTGAAAATACCCACTCTGTTCATGGTGCACCTCTTAAACCCGAGGATTTGTCGGCTGCAAAGGAAAGATTTGGGTTCAGTGGATCGGATTCCTTCTTCGTACCCGAACAGGTTAAGAAATATTATGACAAGACTGTCGTGGGAGCCCAGCACGAGCAGAAATGGAATGATCTTATTGCCACGTATGCCAACAAGTATCCGAAGGATGCAGCTGAATTTACACGTCGTATGGAAGGAAAGTTGCCAGCCGACTGGAAATCGAAAATGCCCAAGTACACACCCGAAGACGCTACGAAAGCTACTCGCCAATACTCGGAGATTGCACTGAACGCGATCGCTACAGCTCTTCCTGAGATTGTTGGCGGTTCGGCTGATCTCACTCCGTCAAATCTGACTCATCTGTCCATGTCGGGTGACTTTCAAAAAAACACGCCGATTGGCCGTTATATTCGTTATGGTGTGCGTGAACATGGCATGGCTGCTATCTCGAACGGGCTGTTTGCCCACGGTGGTGTACGTCCGTTCTGTGCGACGTTTTACAACTTTATTGGATACGCTTTGGGTGCTGTGCGTTTGAGTGCGTTGTCACGCTTTGGGGTGATTTACATTGCAACGCACGATTCCATCTTTTTGGGTGAAGATGGTCCGACCCATCAACCGATTGAAATGAGTGCTTCATTGCGTGCTATGCCAAATATGTACGTCTACCGTCCTGCGGATGGTAATGAGACAATGGGTGCATACATTGCGGCTGTGGAAAACCAGCACAAGACGTCAGTGCTCGCATTGAGTCGTCAAGGTTTGCCGAATCTGGCCAACTCAACTGCTGAAGCTGTTGTTCAAGGAGGTTACATTATCGCTAATGTTGCACACGGTAAGGAAGTAGCAGAGTTGGAAGGCGAACCAGATTTGATTTTAGTTGCTACTGGCTCCGAAGTTTCGCTCTCGATCGATGCTGCCAAGTTGCTTGATGGATATAAGACACGCATTGTGTCGATGCCATGTCGTGATTTGTTTGATGAACAATCAATTGAGTACAAAAAAGAAATTCTTGGTGAAGGTATTCCCGTCATGAGTGTCGAAGCCGCTGCTACTTTTGGTTGGGCAACGTATTCGCACTCGCATTTTGGCCTCGACCGCTTTGGAGCATCGGCTACAATTGCACAGCTCCAAGATCATTTTGGTTTTAACCCGAACACTGTAGCTGATGAAGCCCGCAAGCTGGTCAAGTTTTACGGTGGCCGCTCGGCACCAAATCTCTTTGATCACCCTGCTCAACGTGTGCTTAAGGCTCTGGACCACTAAGCGAATAAAGTAGATAGCTGGTCGTATTTGCCTCGTCTTACTATAATCATTTTCTGATGAAAGTTAAGATTTCGTTTGTTTAACAAGTAACTGGAATTTAACTTGAGCTCCTGAGTTACCTTCGTCCTTGTTCTTGTGCTCTCAGTGACTTAATTCGCAGCTTTTAAAGCACAATCACTTGTGACAATGAATCCTGTAGGATCTTTGCTTTCTGACTGCAGCTCGTCTTCTACTGAAGAGCGTAAGAGTCGTTTAAAAGAGACCCGAACTTCTAACAGACTGTCGACTCGTCGAGAGCTTAAACATTCGATTGAAAAAAAATTTCGATTGCGTTACGCATCGTTGCAGCATGCGTACGAGCAACGACTTGAAGTGTTAGCTACACGGATGCAAGAAGCTGTCAATCAAGTGCATGAAGACGCCACCATTCACTGTTTAAAGGAAAATGCTTTGACCTCTGAGTATGCAAGTGCACGGTTGGGTGAGATTGTTCACGAGTGCTTTTTTGGAGATCGAGAACGTTATATCAAAGCTATGAGTGATCAGATTGCATGGCAAGCGAGTGATCTACGTGAAGCACAACAAAAGCTAAAGATATTGCAAAAGAGAGAGAACGATGCTCAGAAACAGTGGAAACTGGCACAACGAGACGCTGAGACACAACACGAGCATTTAGATGTGCGATTGAAGGAACTTCGAGTGCAAAAAGATCGAATTGATGATTATAAAAGTCAATGTAGAGCTATAGCTGAAGAACGAGATACAGCGAAACGTGAAGTTAAGAAGCTGAGGATAAGTGTGCAGACGATGGAGAAATTGCAGCAGCATAATCAAGCACTGGAAAACGAATTGCAGCAAGAAAAAGAGATTCAATTAGCTGTGAATGGTGAACTAGAAGAGAGTAGGAAGAGATTGCAAGAAGCGAAGAATGTGCGTTGTTTTTGATTGCGAAGCTTTGTGGATTGACGATAATGTTATGACTTTGTGTGTATGTAGGAGATAGAGTTGAGTAAACAGGTGAGTGAACAAGAATTAAGCCATTTAAAGCACTTGCTGATGCTGTCAGAGTCTAAAGCTCAAGATGTGGCTCAAACTTTGGAAAAATTACAAAGTGCAGAGTATCCAACGAAATTGGCACGTTTGGAGTCGGAACTTGCGCATCAACAGCAATTGACCAGACTCAATGAAAAAGATCATGATGACTTGAAAAGGAGGTATCAAGAATTTGGGATGCAGGTGGAGCAGTACATGAAAGAACAGACGCAAGAGAAAGCAACGCTGGTCTTGAAACGAGACGAACAGGTCAAAGAAGTACGTACTGAGCTGGAAGCTTTTAGACAGCAAGCACAAGGTGTGATAAAAACGAAGGAACAGGAGCTTACCCGGGCGATGGAGCTACTGTCTTTAAGACACGAAGCACTGGGGAAAGCCGAAAAGAGAATTCTGTCGCTTGAAGAATCTGTCAGAGTAACAAATGCTCAAGAGATAGAGATGAAGCTCCAACACAAAAAGTTTGCTGAAACTTTGGAAAAAGAGATTGAACAATGGCGACATGCGCTGGAAAAGGAACAGGAGAAAGTTACTAGTCTACAGAAGGTACTGGTTGAGACTCAAGACAAATACGAGCGCAAAATTGTGTCGATTCAGGACACACTGACTCAGCAAAATCGTCAAGATGTAAGCAAGAAAGAGTTGGAGGCTCGTTTACGCTGGCAGAATGAATTTGTTGCAAAGCAAGACGCTAGAATGGATGAACTTAAAAGAAAATGTGATCGTGCATTGGAGAAGCAGGAGGTAGAGCTGCGTCAAGCTCGGCAATTGGCGATGGAGTCTGCTAATAGCGCTGCTGCAAAGTGGGAGAGCGTAAAGTTTGCACAGAAAGAAGAAAAAGAACGTGATCAACGAAGACGCCTTGAGGATGCAGCTCGAGAAAAGGAACGTAAGGAAGATCAACGGGTGCTACAACTGGAACAAAAACGCATGCAGCAAGAGTTCGTCGAGCGCGAGAAGCATCTTTTGGAGCGGGAAAGAACGTTATTGGATAGAGAAATTCGCGAGGAGCATCGACGGGCTAAAGATGCGAAAAAATCGACAACAGCGTCGCCGGTATCTGTTCCACCTAATGTAGTCGTCTTGAATGTAAACTCCACGGAAGAAGAGAATAAAGCTACACGAGCTGATGAGAATGTAGAGCCTCGAATTGCTTTAAAACAATGTCACCAAAGTGAAAAGCTGTATCGACAGGAGCAGGAGAATGGCGAGCATTGTACCAGCATTTCCATGGCGCAACACTTGGCAGAGCTGCAGACAAAGGAAGCTCAAGCTGCATTGCGAGCGGAAGAAAGAGTACAAAAGTTGATGCACGAGTTTCAAGAGCGTAAAGAGTCGGAATTTCGGGCTGCAATGGTGAATGTGAGGAAGGGCATTCAGAAACTTGAGGTATCATTAGAAGAGGCCAAGACTGATAGAAAACGAGTAGAGGAGCAACTACTTAGCGAGCGTCAGGCTTTCGTAAGTCTCAAAAATGAATATGAAGAGTCGAAGGATGCAAAACGTACGATCGTTCAGAGGCTAGAGGAAGCAAATGAGAATGTTGGCAGGTTACGAAGTGTGGTGAAAGAACTGCAAGTTCAGTGTCATTCACTGGACGAGCAATGTCAAGCTGCAAATGTTCAGAAAGAAGAGGCTCAAGCTGCGTTTGCTAGTTCACAGAAAGTAAATGAACAGCTCCGTGAGCAACTTTCACGTCTGAATGAAGCGGCACTACAGCTTGAAAACTCTCTTGACACGTCGGTGGAATCAAGTGAGCAGTCCAAGAAAGAATTGCTAGACCAAATTGCGATACTGGAACATCGCATCAAGACTCGAGAAGAGCAGTTCAAAACGGAAGTGACTGCTATAGAGGAAAACAACACTCGTGAGTTACGGAACGTGTCTTTGCAATATGATACACAAGTCGATCAACTTCAGGTCACCATCAATACAATTCAATCAGACGCTTTGGAACAACAAACAAAGGCGAAGCAACTGGAAGTATCGATGCGTGAAGTCCAAGTTGAAAAGGATCTGTTACAGATCAAAGTTGAGACGATGAAGGCCGAGAGCTTAAAGCAAATGAAGGACTTTGCTGACCTGTCACGAATGCATAAGAACCTTACGGACTCAATCGATAAGCGACTGAAAACTGCAGGTGAGGCCTTGGAGAAGGAGCGAGATCAGCGCATTGCTATTGAAGAGCAAGCGTTTAAAACGAAAGTTGATTTACAAAAACATGTAAATAATTTGAGCAGCAGCCTTCGGCAGCTAAAAATCGAGTGTAATGAAGTGCGCAGGGGTGTTGGAAGTGAGATGAATGTTGGTTGGGTATACATAGAAAAAGAAATTGCTTTGGCATGTATTGAGTGGAAAAAGCGGTCGGATGATATGGTACAAGCGGCAGACGCAGTCTGGCGATTGAAAGTAGAACAGGAAAAACAGGAATGGAAACAGTGTCTTACTGAAAAAGACGAGCAGTTGAGTAAGTTACTGGCAAGTCAACGCGTAAGTGACCAGGCCAAGTATGATCAGATAGTTGATCGTCTTGAAACAAAGGCTCGAGAGCTAGAGGAAGCAACGAGACGGCTGATGGCTCAAAACGAGCTGAATACTGACCTAAATCGAACCATACAGACACTTGAGGAGGACAAAAGGATTAAAAATTTGGAGCTGACGCATTTGCAAGAACAATTGTCTACTGCACAGACTACTGCACAAAAAGAAATGCTAGAAAAGGACCAAGTGATTGCTCTTTTAGAAAATCAAAAGACAATGTGTGAAAACTATCGCGTCTTTTATGCTGCGCTTGCGAAGCAAACTGAGAAAGATCCTAGTGAGAAACTTTCAAATATGGATATTCAGAATGAAGATTCTACATGGAATCCTCGCCAACTTTCTGACGAGCTGACCCAATTAGCAACGCATCTTCAAGAATCACAAACTCAAGCGATTCAAAGAGCTATTGCCGAGGTGACTGCCAGCTCAGATCAAGGTGTCAGTGCTTCAATACTGTCCGAGTTGGATGCTGCAAAGAAGGCACTCGAGTTTATTTGGTGTGAATCTTCACCAAATGGTAATGACCGTGAATATGATGATAATCTTCCATGGTATATTCGTGTAGCAACAATAGTTGAGCGAGAGAGGGAAACAAACAGACAAATGACGTCGACAATTCAGCGCGATCTTGCAGCTAAAGAAACAGAGATGAACGAACTTAAAGATCGCAAGTCAAAGTGGGTAGAGGCAAACAACTTGCTTCGGTTTGAAAATGACACGGTGTTACGAGAGATGGAGCTACTGAGACAGACATTAGAGAAGCGAAAGGTCCAGGAACTTCACGAACTCCAAGTCGAGTACGATGCACGGATTGAACAACAGAAGCAGCACCATGACCGAGCGATTTTAAAATCCGAACAGGACAATGAGGTTCTTTGTTCATAGATTTTCTACACCATGATAAACAACTTAACAAACTTTATTCTTGCAGACTGCGATGAATCAATTGCGAGATACGTTGAAAGCAGAACGAAAAGCTTCAAATCATGTGAAAAATGAGCTCATTGAACTGGTAAATCAACTTGTGAAGCCAACCAAAGTTTTCACTTACTTATCATTTTGACTTCATTCCAGAAAATGATATTAGAGCGAACTGAAGAGGAATTAAAGGAATCACATCAAAAACTGAACAAGGAAACTGAAGAGCTTCGAGAAATAGTAGACTTTGTAAAAACGTGGATGCACACGTGTTCTACTCATAACAGCCTTGTGTTTTGTATAGGCAAACAAGTGGAAGCGGAAAGCGAAACTAGCCATAAAGAATACTGGAAGTGTGATTCAAGTGAAATCTCAAAAAATGCACATGTCAGCGTCGTCTTTTGGTACGGAAGAAGACTCAGATGCGTCGTATCGCATGATGCATCCAGATTTGCAACGTGCATCAAATGCTATGGCAGATTTATCAAATCTCATGGAACAGTCTCTTGTGAGCATTCGAAACGAGTCGACGTCACATTGTCGATAAACTCTATGTCATTACACGTCATACGTGTACAAAAATGTATTGATTCACTTTATTGTTGCAAAAGCTCTTGCTTCCAAAGAGCAAGCACGTCTCGCAGTTTTTGTTCCTGATCAATGACTGCCTTTTTCGCAGCAAGTTCACGCTGGCCGCTACCATTTGCTGTAACGATTACTTCGAAATCGTCTCCACTTGTATCATCAAAGTCATGTAGCTCAACGTGCCCTGAAATATCGCTGCTTTCCCATGCAAATTTGACTGAAAAATCGTAGCCACAACGTTTTTTACCGCGACTAAAAACAACCTACGAAATCATAGAATTCGTTCAATCTTCCGAAGCCTCTCAACTCAATACTATCACCATACTAACCTTAGCTTCCCCATCACATCGTTCAAAAGATGTCACCTTGATATCAAATCCTTGTGCTTCGTCTTCAACTCTAAACGAAGCCAAAATATGGAATTTAAGCCGCTCACGTGCCCATTCCGACTTGTCACGTTCCTCCCTAATTTCAAACCATAAAACCATTCACCAAGTCATTATTATGCTTCTATCTTTCTTAACCAATTACGTACCAAGTGCCTGCACTATTCCACACGGAACTTGAGTCATTATTTGGAACAGTAGCCACGACGTTATCAATTCGCATAGGAGTAAAGTCCTACAACCGACATGTTTTCATCATAATTCTTCTCTTTCTACTACAAAATTTACAGAACTACTTAATAAAAATACCTGTGATGTCTTAGCAATTGTTTTCATCCAGCCATGATAGCCATTATGGAGCTTCTCGTCGTCAGACATGCTCAACCTTTACTAGAATATTCGAAGATGTGACAATATATTGTATTGGACTACTTCTCGTTTTTGATTCGTTAATATTTTAAGTAGAGTATTAACCAATAAACGAATAGACACAAGTTCGATGACGGGTGTCTGGAGCGCCCACGTGACTAAGGAAGGACGAACGTACTACTACAATCGTAATACAAAACAAAGTGCATGGGAAAAACCTGCTGAATTTGATGGTGAAGAACCATGTAATAGTGGGAGTACACTCTCGTCGAAAAAAGCTGAATGGGAAGAACTTTGGGATCCAAAGAATGAACGTGCTTACTATTATAATCGTACAACTCGTAAAACTCAGTGGCAACGACCGGAAGGTGTAGAGATTAAACCACATAATGCACCAATCGAGAAACACAAGCATCATAAGAGTAAGAAGAATGAGCAGATGATGAAAGAAGAAGGTCATTTGAGTGAAACTTTGACTCCAAGTCTTGAGACTAGTACATTGAAACAAGAAGAAAAACAAGATGAGAGTATGATTTTGAGTAAAAAGAAAAAGAAAAAACATAAACGAGAGAAAGTCGAACATGTGGAGGTTGAGAATCAAGCAAAGCGACGTCGTCAAGATGAAAAGAGATTGATAATCTGGGATGATGAAAACCAAGAGACGGAGGTAGTGAAGAATATTGAAGAAAAAGATACAGAAGATGGTAAAGAAGCAACGAAATTATTACAAGAACTTTCGAAAACGGATGCAATTATGGAATCGAATGTATTAGCAGTGATTAATGGATTTTTAAGAGCTCATACCGAGTCGAATGGACCTGAACTTTTGGTGGAAAAACTATCATCATCGTATCGTGGACATGCACAGATGATTGGTCTTGTAGCTTCGTGGTTGGATCTCTTGCCTGTATCAACGACAGTGCTTGAAAAGAAAATGACGTTTGATGTGAATGAAGGAGCTGTGATTGCAAATAAAGGAGCGTCGTGGGATCCTGCTGAAGAAATTTTGTATCGACATATTAAAGACATTGTGAACGAAAATTACGATCCGAAACTTGTGTCAAATGTATTAAGTGGATCAACGATGGAGCCACAATGGCTCACTCAGATGCTGAGCGACCGAAAGTGGCGATTAATGTTAATTGAGCTAGCAGAAACACACAAGGTGAGATGATGATTAGAAATTGATTGGTAGCTGATTGGAAACTACTCACTTTTACTTTAGACATGCACGTTGTTACAGTATGCAATTCGACGGATCTCAGAAGCAGGTCATCATAAGGAAATCGCATCAATCACGAGTGCAAACGCTTTTTTTCCAGTATTTAATGGTGTTTTGGTGGACGCTTTTAGCCGAGTAATGTGCTTTAGTATGTTTTTATTGCTAAGAAATGAAGTACTAACAAACTATTGTTGTGATAGATACCTTTTGCTACAGAAGAAGAAGTAGTAGAAGATTTAGCAGCTTTAAAGAAGGTTTGCTGTCAATCTTCACACTCATACCTTTACGCTCAGGAATTACTCTGTTCGATGGATGACAAGTTATATTCAATTCAAAAAGATATGAAAGCTACTAGCAACGAGTATACACACATCCGTATGGTACGTTCGAAGCTCAATCGAGTTCATAGTGAGCTTCAGGAGACTGCTAGTGGTCGATTTGGTGCAAAGATCGTTCCATATCACATCTTACGTCGTCGGTATATTTATGACAAAAATTCCGAGTTTTGTGACGCAATCTTGTCAATAATCAAGACGAAAAAGTGTTCCGAATTAAGTGCACAAGCATTGGCTAAGGAGTATCAAATGTCCAAAGATCCACCTCCAGTAGCTCATCTACGAGATACAATGGTGCAGTAATAGACAGAGGAATATTTTGGGGATAGTATTGACTGGCATTGTATCCTTAGGTACTGTCGAGTTTATTGGATCGTTTGTTTAATCCATCGGACTTGATTACATCGGCATTTATACAAAATTGCGTCTTCCTTTTGGCTTATGCTGCTTCAACGAAAGATGAACGAAGTTTATTGCAAACAGGAGTTGAAGGTTCTTCGAAACAGGTTCAAGTTGATAATGAAAGTGTTGAGACTACAAAGAAAGCGTTAATTGAAGCTTCAGCAATATGCAAGTCGGATCACACACTGGGGTATAATGTGAGTATTACGCTGATTTATTCAAGTGGAATTTCTAATGATCTTATGTTGATAGATGAATCAATCAGGCGTAGTGGATAAACTCATTTCGGTCATGTCTGTTCCCGTTGTGTCAATGGGTGTGCTGCATTGGCTTGAAGTGATTCTCACATCACCAGGATTTTTTAGTAGCACACCTTTGCACATTTGCTTTCCTAGTCTACTTCGGATATTAAAGGAATCGATTAAGCTTCACAGTGCACAATGGCCAATTGCATTTGGTGTGCTAGTAACATCATTACGATTACATCCTGATATTAATCCAGTCAAAGCATTGGAATTGAAACGAGAGACACTTGGATGTATGGTGTTTATGATAACAAATGGTTACGTGTTGCCTGTTCTGGAGTTTATCTTTACAAATACGTTGGAGTTAGATCAAGCATTACTTCGGAATTTTATTACCATGTTGTTTGTGCGTATTGCACCACCATATTCTCAAAAATTTGCTTTGGCTTTGACACGAATTTTGACACATCCAAAGGTACAGACTGCCATTAAGACTTGTCCACGTGAGAGCAAGATGAAATTGCAAGGATTTGTGACGTATTGTGCCAAGAATTCAAACGTTTTGTCGTCAGATCAATTACAATCGCTGATTATTATGCAAGAAGGAAAGGATTAAGTGAAATGTTAGGATTATTGAATGTCTTATGTCGTTCTTGATAGCGGGAATATATAAACACCGATTCGTATTCTATTCTGCCTTCCGTCGGTATTTTATATTGATACCCTATAATAATAACCTACTGAGGTACCAAAAGTAACTTTTAGGAACAGAATGATCGTGGTGTAAGAGTAATAGTATAGTATAATTAGAGGCGGGTACTGGTATACTAAAATTGGGACAAGTATACCTAACGAGGTACCGTAACTATTAATACATAGATACAGAAGCTGCTTAAATATTATATTTGATGCTGTATTAAATGTACACGACCACATGGTCCACAAAGTGATACATATCATTTGTGCAAGGTTTAAGTTCTACAAACTGCAAATAATTCGTACCCCTCCTTAAAGTAACTTGGACCCAATTTAATCTGTAGTGAACCCATATTGTTCAGTGTCTAGTACAGCATATATCATCTGCTTAAGCTCCATCTGTGATATACCCAAAGGAAGATCTAGCCGATTAAAGCACGCATAGCTTCGTATAAATTCATCTGGTGCACCTATAATCCCACGAATTGTGAATCGACAGACTTTTCCATCATAACTCGTTAATCCTTGAAAACCTACAAGGGGTACACGTGAGCATCCAGTAGTAAATTGTAATAGACGTCGTCTATATTCATTTGGCATTTCTTGAACAATTTCCCAAAACCATCCAAGTGTTGGTGATCGTGCCATACTTTCGGCTACAATCGTATTTCTTTCCCAATCTTTGACATCAATCTCAGGTGATCCACACATTAAGTAATCAAGTTCTTCATAGTCAAATAACATCAATAATTGCTGTGGAATCACTTCATATATACCTTGAAGAAACACGTAGAGTTGATCAGCTACACTACGCAAGAGCAAATGTTGAAATTTCAATTCCAAGAATTCCTTCTTGTTACTATCAGTGACCACGATATTATGACCATTTGGAATGAGATCGACTGTGATAAGACCAAAGCCTTGACGTTCCATCACACTAAAGTCTAAGTCTAATGTCTCCACATTCTCATTCTCTAATATCCACATCATACTCTTGTATACATCCGAATCAAAGTACTTAACATCATCCATACTTAATGGAGTACCCAAAATAAGCTTAAGTAATGGAACACATAGATGGAAGTTAAGCACTGTACCTTCAAGTAGCGCTCGTCCTAGTAATCGTCCCGCTCCGTAAAGATAAATCAAATGTTCTTGACCATTATCATAACGAGAATTTGAATTCAAAAAGTATGCACAGTCTTCTCCATGAGTCATTTGAAACAATCCAGTTTTGGGATCCATGAAAAGTTCCGTCAGTATCATAAACCACTCGCGATGTAATCCACCAGCATCCACACCATTTTCTTCGAGAAATTTAATACGCATAGCTGAACGAATGTACTTTTCTTCAATACATGCTAAATGTTCCATTGACTCTTCAAACATATAATCTCTGTGAATTGACAATTTAAGATACTCGACTTCAGGTGGAATCAAAAGTGAAGCTGTCATTTTGACAAAGTAAGCATACTTTGACGGAAAATCCTTTGCTGCTAATTCAAGCATCTCACGACGACGTTCGACTCCTATGACTGAATTATCCTCGAAAACTTCTCCCGTAGCACGAACAGCAGCATTCCACTTTGTAGCTGGAAGAATGTCCATATTAGCTACTTGATTGAAAACTTTCGTCTTTATTGATTCAACGACTGTTGCTTCACTATTCACTGCAATTGGGCCAATAACTTGACCTGGTATCTTGATATTCTCATTCAACTTGGAAAATCGAATGACTTTTCCAATACAAACCGAAGTACTTCGTCTACTTTCATTATTCTGACGAAACCAAAACAAATTTCCTTCAATGTCCAAAGTTCGCGTCCATTCCTTGCGTTTCCTCGCACGAAGTTGACGTGCAGTAAAATATTGTGTGACTTCACATCTTTGATTCTTCATTTGCTCGTTTCTTTCAATACCAAAACGTTGAAACCTTCGTTTCTTACGATTCCGTACTTTCAAACCTTCTCCACAAAGTGAACAGAAATCCATAGCTTTAAAATTTTCAAACTTACATATGAAACAAATGTTAAATCCTTTGTCAGCCTCTTTGGTTGCTGTATCGAGACGATGGTCATTGCTTGAAATGAAACTGGTGTGTATAGAATGCGAGATCAAACACAACTGTAAGAAGAATTGAGATTAGCAGAAACTTACTTGCCGAGCAATGGCGCTGCTAGCTCATGAAGTCGTTGAGTATGCGTTTGAATCATCTTTTGTCGCATGAGATAGAAAGCAATCGCTATACAAGCTATAAAGATGATATTGACGATGATAGCAAGCATACTGCCTTCCATGATTATGAGGTCTGATCTTTTAGAAATGATTAGAAATACTTTTTACTTGATTACGGCACAAGTGCATCGATTACTAATATTATGCAAGTATTAGGTTTAACAATGCCAATATTTGCGACATGATCAAAAAGAAGTATTAGTCACATTAATTTTCACAGTTGAAATTTAGCTACATAAATTTCAACAATAGCCACTTGTAAAATAGATAATTTGTAAAATAACCACGATATTGCATGGATCGAGTTAGTACACAAGAGTAAAGGCATTACAGAGAACGTTGAATGGAATATTGCGTGAACGCGACGCGTGAAGTGACTAAAACGATCTCGGAGAAATGTCACGTCAGTTCTCTCCACCATAATTATCTTCTTTACTGATGAATTGTGATTTGAATTTAGGTATTAAACAAGATGCTCAAAGCGTCGCGTGTCAAACTTCATAGTGCTCAAAAGATTGCACACGACTCAGTGTTTGTACAAATGCCGGTTGATAGTCTTGACATTTTTTTTCATGATAATTGTGAAACTATTGATCAAATATTACAATACATAGCTTCTCCAAGAAATGAATCGCGTATTTGAACAGCTTCAAAGTACAACTGTAGATCCTGGCATGGTTGCTGATGAACAAGACAAGACACTTTATGATTTTATTGATGCGGAAACAGTTCGATCGTTACAACAGGATGCATTTGAACAAACAAAAGAGTGTGTTATGAATTTATTGATAATATATTGATACTACTTACAAATTTTTTGCATGGAATTGAGCAGAATAGAAGAATTACTGACTACGCATCAACATGCTATTGCAAGAATTGCTATCATTTATGACTTTTTCACAACATTTGAAAAGACTCATGAGACCGACTTGAAAGCATTAAGTGGTGACTATCGAGAACTTGCATTGATAAAGTAAGAAATTCTATCGATGATCTTTTATCGATTTGACTTTGGTTATTGTAGTGACGACAAGATCAAATCGATTGAGGAATTCTATACTATAGCAGTATGTTGTGGTTATAACTCTGGGATACTTTTGATTACCAATTTATTGTATGAAGGTCAGCTTTTTTGTCGACATGGAACAATGTGACCGCTTCTTATTGCAATATTTTTCAACAATTAATGATATTTACCCACAGTACGTTAGATGAAGATTTGAATGACAAATGATTTGTTGACTAATTTGTGATGATCTTCTTTAAAGCTACGAAATGATATTCGCTGATGTGCATTTGTTATTCGAAGAACTTCGTAGTCTTCGCGACTTTTATCTTCAATTTCTAGCATCCTATCAGTCTGTTGGAATCGAAATGCAACGACGTAAACAATACGAGACGAAAGTTCGGCACTTTGTACGTCATTTATACTTGGGACTTTTAAATCAGACGTATTTTTACTTGGTGGTGGTCACTTTTAGATTGAAGAGACTCAAGCAAAACTCGCTTTGTTAGAACAAGATGAATTTGTCTTACGTAGCACATTTTGTGCGGAACATGGACGCTACTTGCCTTCTACTCTATGTCCCGAGATTCACGTATGATGAATTAGAATAGTTTAAATTGTCTTTACCAACACACGTCCGCTTGCTATTCTTTAGGACGCACCGGACAAATATACTGTCGTCCATGATGGTAATTCCAAGAGTAAGATTGATCGCAAGGAGACACAATCAGCTGAAACAGCTTAAAAATAAAGTGAAGCATGTGTCTTCGTTTGAATGAAATATACACATTTTTTACTAGATGCAGCAGACATTACTATAGCATCTCAAGATTCGTCTAAAACGTCAAAGTGGGTCGATTATTTCTTGTCATGTGACTTGATCGACTTGGTTGGCTTGTTTAAGTGTGTCTTGACAATTGTGCCTGCTTTCGCATGGGCTACAGCTGCTTCAAAAGGCGATGATGTCGTGATCATAGCGGACTCAAGACGCTGAACTTCTCTCACGGGAATATTAAGAGCACGTTTAACAGCGTTGAGCCGCATCACTGCTGTCTGCATTAGCGTGAAAGTATTTGATGTCACCCAATAAACGAAGATCCCCTATTGCACTTCAGATTAGAACAACGACTCATTTGCTTGTGAGAAATTGCGTACCGATTGAAAGTTCATAGTGAGTGGAATCATTAACAATGCAAAGCATCTCATGCCGAATTTCATCTTGTCTGCCATCTCACTAGACATTGCATCTCCACCAAGCTCGACAGATGCCACCATTAAAGCCGAGGAAATGACGGGTAATGTCATTGTTGGATCAGCAGCGGATAGATCCGAGACCCACCCCACACCCTCATGAGCGTACTCGGGAAAGTATTTAGAAATATCCTGTAGACCCCAAAAGAATCCTAGAAAAACAGGGATCTATAATTTAAAAACATTATATCATTAGCATGATCTACAGTTTGAAACTACGAATCCTTACCTGTGATAGCGGTGTGAGCACACTTTTAAACGGATTGACGTCATGTTTTTTCATCAGCGCTCGATATTTTTTTTGAAATTCTTTCGCCGTTTGAGGATCTCTCGTTGGATTCGCATCCATCTCCTCTCGGAGTTTTTCCATATCAGGTTGAAATAGTTTCATCTTGGCTGCATTTCGCATCTACCTCATTGATACCAAGCAATAATGAGTACATTCTGTCCAATGCCAATTGAAATATTACTGCAATATCGACGCACTCACTGAAATAACAGTCATGGGAAAGAAAGCGGTACGAACAGCAACCGTAGTGGCAATAATTGTCGCCCACCACGGTAGTCCTGTCGTCGTGTGAATTAAATCAAGCGAACGTATTGCCAAATCAGACAGTGAATATCCTTAAGTAGTGTGTAGAATCTCGTCAATCCTTTATTGTCAATCATTCCATTCATTACCTTACCAAGGTCAGATACAGAAGCAAAGTCGACTGCACCTATAATACAAATACATTTAATCGTCACTTTTCTTGTGTTTTAAAGCCTTGCTGACTATCATAACGTACTTGAAGCATTATCTACCGACTGCAACGTAGTGTTGATTGCTTCTTCGGAGGGTGAACCAGCGACAATTCGATCTTCATTGAACAAACTGCAAGTAAAATATACTCAGCTACATCAAGTCTTTATTACTGAGTCATTTTTCTAGCAATAAATTTACCTCGTAATTGGTCTGGATGAGAAGAATCGACTACTAGTAGGTCTCGTAGGAGTGAATTGCACATGCATATGTTTTATTCTAGCAGCTTGAGAGCTTTAATCGTGAAAACAAAGCAAGCAGTGCATAAATAATCAATTCAATCCATCAGAATGATGGTATACAAGCAAATCACATACCGGATTGCGACCGACCGCGCCATTACCTTTGCAGGCTGCATTCGATACATTAGATGAATTTCTGTGGATGATATTGCATCACCTCTTTATAATGACATTACTCAAATTTTTCAATTCACAATATTCTTCAAAATATTCTACTTAATGTCACTACTTTGTAGTTGTTCTTAAGTGTATGTGATTACTAGTGAGTACGAGAATAGTCTCATTATCGACGATCTGTAGTCCGTAAAGTTGCTCATCACCAAGCTCAATTACGTGCTGCTGGCGTGTGTCGGACTTGTGCTCTTTGTTTGAGTGAGTACCTTGATACACATATACACGACGTTGAAATTCACCAATGCACGCAAGTGATCCTGACGAATGAAATGTCATTATTTTCTTCTCTTGTTTTGATGCTTGAACAAAACCAAAGGCGGGTAATGTAGTTGTGTGCTTTAGTATTAATCGATTTGACGCTATTTCTAGCTCAAAGATTAGACCATGGACATCGTATCTGAATAAAAGTGCTGCCTTCATATCACTTGAACTTGCTACACAAGTGCTTGGACACAGAAATTGAAAATTTGTACAATCAACGATAAGCTGTTCTTGTACCACTTTCTCCTTCAAGTTGACGAGCACTAGACACGCCTTTGCATTTGGGTCTCCATTATCACATTCCTCATAACCACTCAGAATAGAGTCAGCATTAGGCACCTCGAGTGGTCGGTCTCGCTGCAACTTGATGTCTTCTTGACGACTGCATGTCGAGATCTCAGATGCATTGGGTAGAGGCTCATCGACAGAGCTAAAAGGTATGTTGGACTTTTGGAACCGCTCACTAAGCGGTTTATTAAAGTCAAGTGATGCCAGATCACGAAAGTCCTTAGGTCTTGAGATCTCACCATGAAAACCAATTCCACTTCGTGGAATTTTAGACAAAAGCATAGTCATCTCTTCATCGTCTACTGCATCCTCATCGGGAAGACGCTTTTGTGGCAATGCTTTACTTGTCATTGAAGTTGTTTCTATCTCTCGAGTCGGCATTTTTAACGTTGATACAAGGAATTGATATGTTCCATGAAGTAGCAAAACCACATCATGATCATTAAACGAAACGCATGTTGGCAGCTTTGAGACTATGGTGATTGCTGTCACTGTATATTGCAGCTCAGCAAACACATTTTTAGTTGTCGTACTAAGCTCAGCGAATTGTAAAGCCAAATCAATTGTCGAAACTCGGAACGCACCATCATCTTGGTTCTCTAAAAGAGATTCAGCGACGACAATATGGACCTTTCTATTCGATTCGTCATAAAATGCTCCTAACACGAGCAGTGGAACAACTCCGTAGGGTGCAAATGAATATAATTCATTCCACTTTGCCCCATACTCGTTATTTGTAGCCTTTACAATATGCAGCGTCCCGTTTCCATCACAATACACAATTATTCCAGTCCCAGCCACCTGCACCGAAACATTTTCCTGCCTTGTTGTCAACTTTGGAAAGCTACAAATCGTATCAATCTTCAAGCCATCCGTGTGATGGTCGATAATTTGTACAAGCTCGAACTCTGCGTTTACAAAATACAAAACTTTTGCTGCAAAGTGTCGACTTAGAAATGGATCTGCCGTTAGCGCATTGTAGTACACACGTGATTCCCACTGTGCCTTGCGCATTTTCTGATCTACATTAAGTAAAGGCAATGCCGCTACTGGTAATTCGATTGTGTGCTTGGTGACTCCATCCGTAGCCAATACATAGCGGTCAAAGTTCTTGTCGATAAGCGAGCGATCAACTTTCATTGGGATATTGCAAATTTTAACTATACAAAAAAATTGAAATTTATGAGCGACGGAATTTTAGTTTTGATATACAAAAAATTGTAAAGCTCGACAATTAAGAACGAGCTATGTCATTGTTATCTGGCCAACCTCACTCCACTATTGAATTACTATGCACCTCGATAAACACATCGAGTTTCCGCGATTAAATGATGATGATCAAGTCAAACAATCACATCAAGAATGATTGAAAGCCTAAGACGCATATGTAAGGAATCAACTGATAGTATTTGTCCACACTGCATCGGGGCTGCGATAGCTCTTTGCGTAGAGGAAGCTTACTAAAATTTTCGACCTTCGTTCTATATCAGAACCAGTACAAGTGTAGCAGATCGCCTCCAAGAGCACCAAAAATCTTAAGCTAGGCAAATACACTCTTCCGTCCAAAATTGAAGCTGTATTTATTTGTTTTATTTGCGGCAGAATCTCCTATATCTAAAACCTAATTGACTACCGACAGTCGCGCCACATAGTGGCTTCTTGTTACGGTAAAGCCTCACCATTGTGTGATTACACCGACATGTGTAATCCACACCTTTGCACGGTCTAACCATCTTGTGTGACCCATCCTTGCATACCAGGGTACGCGTAACCCTGTTACACACACTGATTTGCTTTTCTAACGATTTTTTTCTAGCAAAAAATATTTTCTCCGCTAACAATCACGCAGTTTGGCAACAGGCTGTCGTGCATCTCGCACAGGGGAAGCTTGCTTTCATACGGGTTTGCGTTTACTATCGAACAGAAGATAGGGCCGTGCGCACCACAACCGAGATCCCCTCAAATATAGTTGGTTTTCTACGATTCTGAGAGTGATGAATAGTTAGAATTAATGACAGCTTTAATATATATCATAAGAATGAACCGATGAACCTCTCTGTTTCGGAATCCCATCACTCTCATCCGACCAAGAAAATTAACGATACAACATCAGTGTTTCATATGAATATCCTTGTGAGTTTCGTTCTACAATTGTGTTTTGTATCCGACACCAAAATACGGGACGTACTCAACCATCGCGCAAAGTTAGCACACTACGAGCACCCACTGCGCTCATTGCGCCTACCAGTGACTTCTCGCACAGGCGTAATTCACATCGCGAATTTTCTACAAAGCTCGCTGGCATGACTTGACGAGCGAATAAGAAATGCTCAGCCTACGCGCAAACGACCTACAAATCACACTTGTTGAGGTAATCGAGGTGCCCCCCAATAAGAAAGGTCACAGTGAAAATCCGAAATCTTTGTTCCCATTACGAGCCAAACGACAAAGCCATAACCCGTCTACGAGAAATTTCTCAAGTATTCTTAGCGCCACGTCACATTTTGCGCGAGCTTGTTCCCTGTGGCGGGGGGTATACGACTTCCCTCCACAAAATACATAATGATGCATTTCGCAACCAATGAACTAGAGATGAATCAGCGAGACGAATTTATACAATTACAAGCGCGAGAGTCGCTGTGATAATCACAGACCAAATAACGTCGTGATTTTTAGACTATACGTTGAAGTTACTCACTGCGCAGGAGCAAAGCCTTTACAAACGTATACGTACGAGACCTTTAAACCAAGAGCGAAACGAACGCTAACAGCAGTGCAAATCCGCGCGGTTTAAAAAATAGTATCATTGGAAAAAATGTTAGCCAAAAGTGCTGAATAGTACCGCACACGATCTTCCAAGCCGGATCAGACGTCGGGCTAGAGCACCATTTGTGCAGAAAACACAACCCTGCTTATACCCATGAGCCCGATGGAACAGTAAACGGTCAAGCTTCAAAATTAAAAACTTGGACCCAGCAAGCTGGTGAAAATCGCGAGGCTTCTTCTGGAGCGGTATTGACCGCGGCTGCCTCACGCTATAAGCGGTAACGGTGCCGTGTCAATGTTGCCGGAACGTATCCTCAGAATAACTATGAGTTGTATGGATAAATCTCTTTCGCTTCACCATATAATGTTTTCTATCTTCTCAACCCGTCGGACAAATGCCTAATCTACACAAAAGCGGAGCACCTTATGCTTTTCAAGGAGATGATACGGAGACCAAACCTCTCGTGGCGGGAGGTCGACTATTCTAAAAGTCTCGACCGTGGCTGGCATTGACGTTGGTTACTTCTTTGACGAGCTCACTGAGCTGCGCAATCATGTCTAAGGGCTGGAGGCACCCTAACATCTCACCGCGTCAGAACACTCCGCGCACAACACAGGGTGTGTTTGAATTTCTTTGGGATACTAAAAAAGAAGCTCGATTATTTCTTAGTTACGACTTATAGCGCTGCAACAAAAACATTCAGTCTTATTAACTGATGATACTGAATATGCAAGTAGTCTGCAGTGTTCACCACTACCTATTCAACCGCTATAGACTCACGTATCTTCCGACGGTATCTGGCGGCTGCATGGCGCTGTTCCACACCTTAGCTCCCAAGAAAAACGTTGTGCGTTCAGCGCACGACATTTTGTAAAAAAACCCACCAAGTTTACTGCGAAGTGTAGCTAGATTGATACCAGCAAATTGAATCTTTTGACAGTCTCTCTTTCCAGTGGCAGGCTATTCGGTGAAGAAGGCACTAGGGTCTATCATGCAGGAAGAATGGAATAAGTTCTGTCAATGCACGGGATGCGCTATTTAACGCCAGTCAAATAGAAAACATTTACTCCAGCACCGCGACCGATCCAGGGGTGCTTCGACAGTATCATCAAGTACGCGGTTAGCGCGTTTCATTCGATCAGTGGTGAACATGTCCAATCTGGTACCCGGTATCTATAATAAAATTTGCCAGAATTTTACCTTAAAGCTCAGACCATTAACCGAAATAATGGCCACCGAAGGGCCATACTGTCGAAAATATTTGCCGAGAAGCAACTTGGCTGTATCATCATGCTAAATGTGTATCAACTAGCAGCAAGGTGCTCAGATAGTCTTCAAAAGCCACTATACCGTTATTTCTGGATGCGTCTTTTGATAGGAAACGAGTCGATACATACTGACTTACAATATTTGACCAAGCCAGTTAGACTGGCCAATTTTCTTAGGCACGCGGCTAGAGCTTAATCTGCTGACACATTTTGTACACGCGCCTAAGAGTGCTTACCATTTTAACATGTTGAGTCAGTGTTTATAGCTCCAATGACCCATACGTCCACTCTCAATTGAGGTGATCAACCAGGATAAGATTATGTTTCTCGTACACTATTTTCCACTTTAGATATCTATTATGAAGTATCGAATCTCGCTACTCTAAATTGGGTCATAAGTTTGGAAAGCAAGCGTTGAGATAAGCTTCAGCGGTACAACCGCACGACCGGACGCTTCGATGATGCGACATCCGAGCAATGAGTGTAAAACGTGTTGGATCTGATCAGAGTACTGTACATATTGCCTTATCGATGCGTAACATCACCATCGTGAGATGCTACATTACATAGTTTGGCGGTGTGAGCGAGTTCATCCCTGCACAAACTATTTGAGATTACACTTTACTCAAAAGAAATAATTGGTAAATCGTGAAAACAGTTTGTCATACTTCGCAAAAGATATGGCGACGATATCGCCGTACGCAACGACGCATAATCTATTAAGACCGCGAACAATTGAGCACTATGTCAAATACTATAAACTCAATGAGCTCCGTGGCAAGGATCTTTGCTGGTGCTGGTACCTCTCAATACTCGATTGCGACGATGGTGTGGTCATGCATATTGACAATTTCTTGAAGCAAAACATTGTGTATGGTAAAGATCAAAGCGTCACAGACGACATGAAATGGCTGATTGTGATCTGAAAAGATTAGAATTGGGGCACAACTAAGGCTTACTCTAGTAGCTTTTACTGATGCGTTATTAATTGGGCCTTAATACCTCAAAATTTGATGCCATTGGTGAGAATTCGCACTACTGACTTCTAGCTTCTTTGTGCTGCATATAAGGTTCTGATTTGTTCTCCGAACCGATAGTTGTCGTACAGTAGCGAGTTGTCAAGTGTCGTGAATACCAAAATCAAAGACCATGTTCTTTTCGACAATTGGTCATCACATTATTAAGGTATTGAATATGAAATGTGCTGGAGTCACGAATCGAAGAAACCACCAAGGCAAGCTTTCGTTTGGGGGACATTTAGCATAGTTTTGGCTCATATTATTGTGCTGGTATATTTATAAGGTTGCAAAATGCAGGTGTATTGCTGAATGTATATGGGTGAGATTATATAAGCATAATCGCTCTCACCTTGCGGAACATTAAGATGTAGATAGACGCTCACTTCGTTGGAGTACGAAGCTGTTGCTTTTGATTAAAAAGCTTCAGCAACTCACAGCTATATCATAAAACTGGCAGATAATAATATCTATAATGCCTTCAAGGATAAATTTTCCTCGTCTTCGCAATATCATGCCCTCCCATGAACTGGACCACAGCATGCTTATTTTGTTCGTTCCTTGGATCATTCAAATCCTGTTAGGGGTAGAAGAGTATTCGTCAAAAAGGCTCAACTACCACGTCCCAATTTTGTTTTTATTCAGCTCCACATCAATCATGACAGCAATAATTTACTTCTGTATATTCTAAATAAATGGATCGGAGCACGTGACGGCTTAGTGTAGACAGTCTTTGCACTTGACGTTTTCTCTAACGAGGTAAGTATTTATGTTCAGGTAATTGGCTAGGCTAACCACTTCCCTTTATCCCTTTGAGATAATCAATCCACCGAGTCCAAACGTTCCAATGGATCTGTCCGCAGACCACGCTTCTAATGTGACAAATCCAGAAGGAATTGTATAGGTGCCAAAAGCTCGGTTTTCTGGGTTGATACGCAGAGAATCTATGTTCATACACTCGACCACTGCATACACGTGCACAATGTCCCGGACTTCGTGAGTTCTGCACGACTACGGGCTAAAACATCGTCAATTTAAGTTGTGTATAGGCCCGACGCAGCCTAAACAGCTATGCCATCAGCCATTTGAATGTCGCTGATACGTTAGACAGTCACTGAGAGTTACCCAGCCATTCCATGAGTACCCTTTCAAAGTACTCATTGCAGTGAGTAGGCAGTAGCTGCCTTGGCTGACTGCAGAGATCGTCGATCATGATTCCGCTGGGCTGCTAGCCGCATGTCAGAAATTAAAGACAGTTTTATCAAGCAAAAAAACATGTATAATCGATATCAGGCCAAGTTGCACAAATCTCATATTTAATCTTCCTTTCAAGCAGGAGAGTGAATTGGACACCTTGTTACGTTCGAGGATATCGGTTTGGGGTTGTACCTCACCAACTTAACTTCTGCGCGTTTGACCACGCAGACTTTGAGAATTACGGCTTTTTAAAGGCCTGTACTCTTTGCGAGGATGAAAATGAAATGCTTAAGTAACATTCCCCATGACGGCTAGAGCAGCTTAATGAGCTTATTGATTTCGTTGGTATCGAGGGTATCAGAGATGGCGGCCAAAGGGCCGAAACCAAGACCTTTCTGAAATATGCAATCAAGATCAAGTGCGTAAAGGATTGCAGTAGCATTTGGCTACTAAAAATGCAGCCGTTAGAATAACCACTGGGCGTTGAGCCATTACGAAACAGACAAACATTTTGACGGTCATAATGACGGCAATTTCGACTATCTTCTGCGTTTCTATGCAATCTTAATCTCGCGTTGATTACATCATTAAAGTTATATTTGTTAGCTTCAATATCACTGCTTTTTTTGCTGCGACTACTTTGTAAAGTACGATCGCAACAATCAAGTATGTTATAACTGCGGTGTCGTTAGCGAAATTTTTATTGCCGACTTTCAAAGCGGCTTTTTCTCAAGCTGAATGTGCTCTCAGCTGCTTCAATGCACTGCTACTGCCGTCGCGTTAATGAACATTCTGCTTCTCAGTCCAATTATGTACAATTAAACTAGGTAGCAGCGCATATTCTGGGGTCTTAATATATTGAATTCTAATTCGTTTCGCATCAAAGTCAGATGCCTAATTGAGACATGTTGCCAGCACTTGCGGTCTGACTTAGACCCAAGTAGATCTTCAACACTATGTGAGAAAATTTGTTCTTTGCAGTAGCTTCGATAATAAAGTCTGGCGCCCCTTACAACAGAATGAGCATCTTATATGTCAGGATGTTCGATTTTGACAGAGTCGTTGGACAGCCAAATTTGTGTCATCTCCTCTTCCCTCTTGACGCAATATTTATCAACGGTGCCTTCGATACCTGGGTAATGCAAATACAGTTTCAACTGCATTCCAACAAAAACAATTTTGTCGAGAGATGACGGTCACGTGCAGTGTCTTCTTTACACATTCTCATGGCAAGGCTAAATATACGAAAAACCACCAGTCAATACGAAAATTAGCATTTGGATAAATCGCATCGTATGACTCCGATCATCGACTCGAAGGTCAAAACCATCGCTCTAGTTGGCTTTGTCCGTGATGACGGGACTCGATGCTCTCAAATAATAATAGAATTATAGTTCAGGGCAAGGTGCAACCACTAAATCTCTTCATCTTCCAATGTACCCACCAGTACAAGCCGTCGTCAATCGCCTGTACAGATCAGACGAAGTGCAACGGGGTTGCCGTCATTCTGCACGAAGTAGGCTTCAAATCATAGAGTCTGAGTCAGCAAATGCACATATGCGGGTTTGTACGCCTCTACAAGGAGCGGAATCGAGAGCCTGTCAGATATTTGACGCTGTTTGGTTGCTCTTCTATTCATGGTAAGTTTGTTATGAAGAAATATTCCTCATCATGCAGCTATTTTTCTTTTCCGATGTGCGGCTAGCAGTATCCGGACCTTTTCTTCGGACTTCCGTAGTCTTCAGGAGTAACGGTAACAAAAGTTTTAAATTACTACGATATTGTAAGCAAAACATCTGACCAATATAAATTCCCTTGACTTATTGTTTGTTATTATTCAAAAATGACCAAATACATCAATTCCATCTAAATAAGCCACTGTTTGGACCTTGTTACTAAAAAAAGTATTACGCTTCTTAATGCAGCAATTCCTCTTGAAATTTGCTCAGTACAGCGTGTGAAACATCCAGAACTGGACTCAATGGTTTTGAACTGGGTGGAGCAGAGCTGCAGTGTTGAAGATGTTGGAAGCGCTCAGCTGCCCAAATGAAAGCTTTTGACCGAGCGCAAGAGATGCAGCTACCTTCTAATGTATTTTTTTTCTGAAGGATAAAATAGCAGCGTTATGAAGCAGCATGATTCTGATTTACTTAGAATAATAGAAAAACAAGTGTCGCATTGAAAGGAAACAGAACTATAGCAAGTAACAAGGTGGAAAAGGAAGTGGCACTATCGTCAAATAAGTTCTAAAGAAAACCTCTAGCGCGACTAAGGTGTTGGCTTTATCGAAGATCTGGATTGAATATATTATTTTGATGCGCGAACTCCTGTTTGGCAAGTCAAGAGTTTGGCTAACTTTTGAAACACTTTGATCTCGTGAAACGTATTTTTAACGATTCAAAGCAATAGAGTTAAAGATATTGACGTGAAATTGTGCATTGCCTATCTCGCACATCATTTTGAGCATCTCATTTGAAGAACTCACAATTTGTCACAATGCACCGCTGTCAATTTCAATCGGTCGAGTTTTAAACAAGTTATATGCTTGTACCTTTGTCGGCGAACTTGGCTGAAAAAAAGTTTGTGCTGTCTACTTGTTTTGATAGTAGTGACAAAAGTATTCATTTCAATTTAAACCACTATATACAATTTCTTTCGAGCTTATCAATCGCTCCCTATATCATACAGTACCTGCCTACAGAACTTTGCTTTCGTGAATATTTTTCTCGTCGTATAAGGCAGCATAGAGTGTCATGCGCAAATTATCTTTGGTTTTAAAATACGGCAATTCAAGTGTGTTGTAGTGCGCGTGAGCTCGAAAAGTAGCATTGTTACTTGCATCAGTCAATGTAAACTTGCAGACCTGACCATTGTAATCTCTCAAGCCTTGAAAGCCTACTAATGGAACGCGCAAGTAGCCCGTTGCAAACTGCAGTAATCTTAATTGATACACACGTGACATCTCCTTCACGACGTCCCAGAACCACGTCACTTCCCGCCGGACTTCCAGTGCCAGGTGAGTTTGAAATTGCCAGTCTTGAACGTTGATCTCATCGGAACCACAGAGTAAATAGTCCAATTCCTCGTGGTCGAAAGGTAGCAACATTCGCTGGGGAACAAGTTCGTAAAAACCCTTGAGAAATGATGCTAATTGTGGAGCCACTGATTCAAACATCAGATAGCGAAACTTACGGTCCGCAAACTCGAATTTGTTGTCGTCATTTACTTGTATATTTCTTCCCGTAGGAATGAGTTCAACAACTCGAGTTTGATTGCAATGATGATGTGTCACAGTAAAATCAAGTTCCAGCAATTCAGCACCATCATTGTCGAGCAGTCGTGTCAATTGACGGAACATGTCAGGATCTAAACATTCCAAATCATTAAAAGCAATTGGAACTCCCAACATCATTTTTAGCAGTGGCGAACACAAGTGAAAGTTGAGCACTGCGCCATCTAAAAGCGCTCGCCCAACAAGCCTCCCAGTGGCTTGAAAATATTGCAAGTGATCCACTCCAAGCACACGTTCCGACTGCGAATTGATAAAGAATGTAGGATTGCTGATTTGTGTGCGATAGAAAAGTCCGACACTTGAATCAAGTAACTTTTCGCTCAATAACGTCAGCCATTCACGATGCAGACTGCCGGTATATTTTTTATCACTCCACAAATTTTCTTGCTCATTAAAATTTACTTGAAGGCACACCGACCGGATACTATCATGCGAAATGCCAATGATATGTTGTATGGATTGTTCGAAAATATTGTCACGACTGACCGTCAATTTAGAGAGTAGAGGCCGATCCTTTACTTGCAAGAGCGAAGTAGCACTAGCAATGAAGTGCGCATACTTTCTCGATAAATCCTGAGTAGCTAATTCCATTGCTATCTGCCTCAAATCTTCCATTGTGTCCGGCAAATCAGCTGGATGCATAGCCGGCAAGGGGAATAGTGTGGATTCAGTATCATGTGGTTCCAGTAATTCAAACCGTATACCAGCACAGGGATCATAACCTGAGCTAAGACTTCGTTCTCTCTGCTTCGACGCTTCACGATCCGGTTCTGGCTCAAATTCTGGGGACAAGTAGAATCGCAGCACGTAAGTTGTCGAATGTTCACTCTCTTCTACTTTACGACGCCAAACCATCTTGCAATTTGCATCAATTTCCCGTGTCCATTCCTGACGCTTCATTACACAAGACAATGGATTATCGTGACCCAAAGTATCATCTTGAGGCGAGGCCGTAGCCATGAGGTTTGAAGTGAAAGAACTCGGTAATCCACATAAGGCACAGTACACCAAACTTGCAAAATTTTCAAAGCCACAGGATACACAGGTCGCTGATCCTTCTACCGCTTCTCTGTCATAAGATGAGAAATTCGAATTAGATTATGAATAGCTCTTACAAGAGCCTTTATACATGTACATACCTTTGAGCTGCTATCATTCGAAGGTCTTCCATTTGTTCACTAGTGTGGTAAGAAAAGCAAGGAGCAATTAAGTTGTGCAATGGCAAAGATTGTCGTCGTCACGTACGTGGAGAAAATCATGCAATTGTGAAGACTATCCTTTACACTTGTTGTATGAACGGCGCGTCGAGAACGATAGTGGAAACAAACAAAAGCTTCTTGGAATGCCTCTTTCCGCGCCAGTATACATGCACGCAAGGACTGGATGGCCGCAGCTTCAAAGCTGATTCGCTTCGGTCGCAATCTGAACCCACACAGGTAGTTAGTTATCTTAGTACATTACCGGTATTCATTCTAGCACAAAGTAGATATATTGGCCAAAAAATCCAGAAGATGACCTGAGATAAGTATTAAAATGGGTGTACGTAGCGATTAACACTAAAGTAATTTGAGCTTCTCAGACTCGAATGTTCATGGTGGTTAAGTACCAGCAGCAGGTCTTGTCTTTATAATCTGTCTAAGGCATGAGTATCACGAGGAAGACTAGAGACTGCTTACATGCGTCTGTTAACAATATGCATTGAATTTGAAAGTCACACTGTTCTTTCAGTAAGATTCTTTTATTGCTGTATCACGCAAAATGTAGAAAAGTCGATTTCATGACGCAATCCTCTATCCGGAGTTGACACATGGGTCACCACACCGTATAATCCTTGACAAATGTTGAAAGCATCAATAGAATCTTGAGATTACTGGTCCGATTCTCACTCTCAGTGTTTTGAGAGCGACCTCCATGACAGATGCATTCATTAAATATGACGAGCTCAAGTCTACCTATGGCACTAATTGAGAATGCCATTGTCAAGTCATTCCTTGCACACACCGACGATAAATATCTCTTTCAGCTCCAGTAGCTTATGCCGGAGGTAGTGAGGGGGGGCTTACAACCTATAGAACTACCCAGTCACTCCATACATGAATGAACAATTTTTTCGCTACTTGCCTGCGGAGTTTCGTTACTCCATACGAGGGGATGTCTCACGGCAGTGCTGGATTGGCAGTACAGTCACAAAGTGACAAGGAAAAACTGTATTTTGATGTTCAGGGCCTAGCACAACTACACATGACTTGAAGTCGCCCTTCGACTACAATGACTATGGCACGGGAGTGTGCAAAACCCAGGCCCTTCTTATCTTGACCGGCTCAGGCATAGTAGACAACAAACCTCAGCTGTCTTTTACCCTCCTGTAAGATATAATATATAAGGGCCACGACATACAGTCGTCTTTTCCCATCTAATCAAAGACGTACCTTGGAGACCGTGAAATACAATCACTCTTTTCTGTTCCATCCTGACATCTTGGCTTCTTCAAATCCTGTCTTCCGAGCTCTGCTCAGAACATGGCAATGCGATGCTATCAATATTTAAGAATTCTCTGTCCGCAGGAAAGCTGCCGTAACTTTGTGCCCACGCCAAGAGTGCTTCTGCTTCGTGACAATAGTCAATCTATGACTCGTCTATAATTAAAAGAAAAAACAACTGACATCCTGCTTTTCCAACTTTCAGTCTACCATTGCTTCGCGACGTTCTAACCGAGTCATATTTTAGCTGAGATTCGTGTCTGGAATTCATGTTCAAGACTGGGCAACGATTCACGCGGTTATAGCTCCCAATCTTCACTTGTAGGTTCAACATAACCTTCGTCACTCTTACCAGTGACCCCCTCAAAACAAACATGGATATCGTATATGTATTTAGCACCTTCACCCCCCGCGTACTGTTTTTGACAGTCGTGCGTTGTGCAAATTTGCAAGACACCTCTAAATCTATTACAACATCTCGAAGCTTTACAAAGCCTGAAACGTTGATATCGCTGGCCAACGACCACAGGCAAAGACTCCCATCTAGGTCATTCTCTTACGAATTTGATTTCGTTGACCATGAGTTCCATGAGAAAAAATACAACCAAGTTCATTCAGTAGGTCTTCTTGCGCCCGCTAGGTTTAACGCTCTTCCACGAGGATTTTGTCAAACACCCTTGCACGGAAGCACGATACTTCGATCCTCTTAGCCAAGAGATACGGAGTCACGTGAGGCACAGAAATGGTTGTAAAACCGAAAATTAAACATCAGCGCGTACTGTGAAGCCGCTGTGCCGTAAGAGAGCTTCTTCTCACCCTTCAGCATTGCTGACGTTCATTGCAGCTGGTGTGCTTGCAGAGCTTATATTGCTAGCACCACACCTGGCCTTCACGGACTAAAAGCTTCGCATCGAAACGAGGCGTCAAATGCTCCCCAAAAACGATGAACAGTGAACGTTGAAGGTCTAGATGCGAATCGCATCCGTTAAGAGACTTTCCACGAAGACGGTAATCGTAGCTTTCTTCGGGAGCGGAACAGACGCCATTGTAGTAACCATTTATCTTAACTCCTGTACATAGTCTGCCAGATCTTGCCCCTCTTGTCGGGTTGTCAAAAACTTTCAACGCACCCAGCATGCTTCATCAGAATATTCGCGACATCTATCCCTTCAAATCGCTCGACGTCGGGAGCGCCACTTGTCCAAGGTAGTGGACTTGTGTACGAACGACTGGCTATGCTGTGATACTAACATAAAATTTTCACGTTACAGAACGATACATTGGATTTCAAACTGCTATTTAACGCTAAAACTACATTATAATTGCGATCTCAAGTTTTCAGCTTCGTGCACTCAGGCGATTCAGAAGAAGAACACACAAGATAGAGTATGGTAAAGCTCTAGACAACTTTTCACTCGTTTAATCTGACGACATCATCTGTTAAAGATCGTGAAATATGCCGTTGTAGGAGATGAGGTTAAGTGAATATACATATTTGATCGTATCTACATATACATAGTAAATGCGCTCAGTGCCTAGTCATGACGAATACAAAATTTGATTTCCATTTTGACTTTGTCCTCTTTGCCGGCATACATGTCTTGCCCGTCACTAGCAATCGTATTAGACTAAGTACGTATCAATAACTAGTTTGAGTATGCTGTACCGGACCAATTATCCAAGTCCGCTGTTTTGATTGGATCAATCAGTCTGCTGCGAATGGACAGCATGAAGATTGTTTCCTTTCCAAAAGGTGTCCCTTTGAACACTCCTTCACGTCCGCGTCTTGGATTTCTACACATTTACCGACAACCCTTGGTCCTCGACTGAATGTAGAACCTAGCATATGCGTTCGTCTGTATCAATAGCTGATAGCTTTATCAAGAAGGTACATCGCATTTTTATGAGAATTTAAAGGTTCTGCACACATATCAGCTAAAATACATTCTTGAATATCCAGCAGTACAATGTTAATATATGTACTGTTTGACAGATAATCGTCGATATTCACGGTCTGACAGCATGAAATGACAGGTGATAAATCTGGCAAGATGTATAAGTTGACTGATGTAGAGAGCTGGAATGAAGAAGATAAATGTGATAGCTTCTTTGACTTTCACAGAAGTCCTGGCTTTGGTATGCAGAGGTCTGACTATAATAATATTACGCACGAATTGATCAAGTACAAGTGCTTATTCACCAGCATTAATTCGATCTTAAACGTTCTTTCGCTATTATTGATAAAAAGAACAACAAATTGATGATTGAGTTTTTTTAGCTATATGTGCAATGCAACGTCGAGCATGAATGTGATCGACTTCAACAACTGTGTAGTCGCTGTTATGAGCAATGTAAAGTACCTCATCAAGCATCTTGGCGACTTATATCCGACAACTAGATTCGTTGTGTTTGCGGCTTTGGAAACGGACTTTCCCGTACGAGTTCTCCACTTTAGTTAACGTGCTGATCCATGCTTCGATTCTTCTCTAATTGGCTTTCGATAGCATTCTCTGTGAAACTAGCATCAAAGATTAAGTGTATCAGCATATACAACAATTCTGAAAGCACTATGTAATGAAGTTGATCATGAATTTGCACTATAACTTTGTTTTGGTACATTACATAAAGATTATCAAACCATGGTGTGAGCTCCCCGAGCGTTTCAATATCAGCCGATGGTATATTGCTGCCCGGTATATCGGTGTATCAAACATGTTTTGAATTACTTCAAGAAGTCTTTTCAGACGATTAGATTCCTAACAAGCGTATAATGGAAACAAGGATCAAGATGTTGAGATTAATGAGTTAGGTGTGACACTAGGACACTAGGACATCTAAACATACAGTCAAATCAACTGAATTACATTCATGGTTTTTTCTGAGGGTAGTTTAAGACTTAAATTGCCCCAGACATGAATTTTTGAGGTGAAAATCTCTTCCTCTTCACCAATTGCAAACCACAGCTCTGGTGTACTCACCGGCCCATTTACCGGCCTACTAAAAAAGAGCACTTTTGTACATTTAACAGCACTGGCGACAAAAATCTCTCGAAGCTAGCTATCGTGGGATATCTAAATTGTGGCCGCGCATTGAGTTTCATTGAGAATTTCGCGCGCGACCAAGCCTGAAATTGATCATACTTCAGCTACAGCTTTGATATGTGTGGCTTGCGGACCCCAACAATTTAGAACCGTATCGCTGCTCAAGAGCTGCAGGTTCCTCAGTTCTAAGGAAGGCTATGAGGCATATACTGCGTTGATCGGCGAAAACTGAATATGTGGTTCCAACTTGGTCAAGCACCGTCTTCACGCAAGTGCTGCGGAGAATATTTGGCATTTTGCGATTGCAGCGATCCGTCCCAAATTTGTCAGCGAGTATCAGCGGTTGACGTATTCAATCAAGTGATGAGCAATTAACAATCTTTGCCTGATCTTAGCTCCAAGCGCGGATCTGTATTCAACAAGACAAGAGTACAGTTGAAGTTTGTTGGCGAAACCCTTTGCCAAGAATCAGTTTGGCTACACCCTTCCCGCTCACATTATCGCTGACAGCAGCAAGACGAGCCATCTTGCTACGAAAACAACTGAAACAGTATTACCGGACGATTGCTATGCTTAATAATTGAATAAATATCGCGTGACTGAATGGGTGGCAGTCAAATGGCCGGAGGCGGTCATGGCTCGCCGGGAAGATCTCCCCAACGTTGGGAATGTGCTAGTGAGCCGCGTCCAAGAGCGGTCCGACCGCACGCCGGTGAATGAGCAACAAAAAATACCGTGAGACCGCTGGTGATGAGCTGCCGGGCCTTTGAGGGTCGGGACAGAGAACATCTTTTACTTTTGATGAGAAAATTGATATAGTAATGGGCTTGGCCTTAAACCAAATATAGCGACAGAGCATTGCGTGTTGTGATCTCTGAGCTAGGAGGACTTGCGCAATAATTGGCACTTATGCGCAATACAGCATTGCGAAGCACAAACTTTTTGAACTATCCTAGTGAGCTTTTCATTAATTCTTTAGAGGCTAAAGATTGTATCTTTCTATATATCTCTGAGTTTTATCGACTTACTCCAAATAGGAATTCCAGCACATTGTCACCGTGGCAATGGTAAAAGCAAGAAGGGAGTCTGTAGCGCGCCAGAATGCAATTTCTTGGGAAACCGATCGCATTTCGTCTGATAATCTTTCATCACAGGAAGTACTCATGGCGTGGCTTCTGACGCCTGGCAATGCCGATCGATGGCGCCGGGAGAAACGCACAAAGTTAATGGAAGAACTATTTCAATTGCTAGAGGCAAACGGCATCAATCACCGATCAATTGATGAAATTCGATCAAAAATTATGCGAATGGAAAATTCTTTTAAGTCTGCAAGTGCGCACTTGCTTCAAAATGGTCAATGGGAGGCATTTAAACGAGGAGATGCGACATCGAACATTGTTGAGCATGTGCTCATGCTGTGCCCACAATATCGAGAGTTGCAGCCAGTCTTTGGGAAGGATGGTGCAAGAAAAAAAAAGCAGGTAAAGTCTCAGAGTGGCGCGGCTAGTGCTGCTTCTGAAAGTGTTGCTGGTGCAGCAAAAACTGCTGTGGAAAGCACCTTGAGTGCTGTAGTGAACAGGGCAAACACTTTGAAAATGATAAATGCGATTGATGGTGGCTCCAAGATGGGTGGAAAGAAGATTCAGGAAGTTCACGAGCGTGTTCGAGCTAGAACAAATGGAATTGGGGGTGAAGAGAAGAACCTTTACGGTGCTGACACTACTACAATAATGGAAAAAAGCAAGCCAAATGTCAGTAATGCGAAAAAGAGTGTTCATGTAGGCGATGCTGAGATGATTAACGATGCTATTGATTCGAATAAAGGAATTAGCCGAAGTCAAGACGACAACAGTATTGCACAGTCTGTCGAAAACGGGGATGATGGCATTCTCGTAGATGACATTAATACGCTAGGCAAAAGCCGCAGTGACTTTGGAAAGGTGGAAGAGTGCATTGTGAATCAAGCAGAGGCTGAAGCCAATGGCTTAAGAGCAAAAGAGAATGCATTCAAACGTGTTGACGTCAGATATGGAGCGAAAAATTCTATACAAATGAAGGCTCACCCGACTGAGTGTGATCAAAGTAGCGTGGATGAAGAAGACAGCGACAAGACGGAGGATGGAAGTAAAAGCGACCAAGATGAAGACGAAGATGTAGATGATAATGAAGAGGAGCAGATTGACTTGGCTCAGCGTGATGCGAATATCCAATCTGCAGACAGCGAGCAAGTGGATGTTGACGACGCAGAATACAGTGATCAGTCTGAGGCAGTTGAAAAAGAAGTGGAAAAGTTGGACAGTTCAGAAGAAACTGACGAGGAGGTGGAGGAAGAAGAACCGACACAATCTACTAAGACAGCAGCGGACTCAACTGACGATAATAGCTCAACAAGTGAGAGTCAGTATGCCGAGCCAGAGGATGAGATCTCGTTAAATCAATTCAAGCCTAAGTATGAACACGATGTAAACAATGTCGAGTCTGAATACGATGTCGAGTCTGATGAGGACGAGTCTGATAACGAAAACAATGGAGAGAAAGACATGGAGGAGCTCAGCGCGCAGAGCGAGTCGAGCATCGAAGCCGACTCATCACATCAAACTCAAAAACGCAGCAAAATTAGTGTAGCGCACCATTCTAATAGACCCAGCAAGCACGCTCGGACCGAGAAACGTACAAGCAAAGCCACAATGGACCTCGAGCGCCTGGCATTTATCGAGCATGCCAAACAAGAACGAGACCAACGCGAAAAACTTTTTGAGCTCGAGCGAGCGAAGCTCGAGTGCGAGCTCCAATCAAAGCAAGTGCAGCTCTCATTCGAGAGGTCTCTGGCTCGCAAGAAACTTCTTAGTGCGGGTGTTGATCCTGATGAGGTCAACCGAGTGTTGCCCCTTTCGTAATTGTAACTAATCTTAAAAGTGATGCATTAAGCAACTTCAATCAGTCGCGTACATGTTGCACGAAGCATATTACGTTGCTCAACTCATTAAAGCTCTCCCTGTTTAGCTCTACAAATGTCCCCCAAACGGTCTCGCACGACGTACCATAGCGCACTGACGGACAATGCGCGCCCAGGCGGACCTACTACTATGGACATGCTGGTGAGATGGATAACAAAACCCGGGAACGTAAAACGCTGGCGTTTGGAACCGCGAGCACCACTTATACGTGAAGTAGTTGATGCGATGCAGGAGGAGGGACTGGCGCATCGCCAGCCGCCATTCGTGCGGTACAAACTGATTGCGATTGAGAAGCAGTACATGACGGCTCAGAAATGGCTGCTGGAGACCGGTATGCATGATGCTTATATGAAGGGAAAGGCCACAAAGGAGGTGCGTGTTCATGTGGATAACTTGTGTCCTCACTTTCAAAAGCTGGATCCAGCATTTCGAAGTGTTCCATTTGGAAAAGAGCGTGCGGAGACAATAGAACTTGATGAATTCATTGGTGAGGGCAACGGAGCAGCGGAGAGGCAAGAGATGGAAGAGATTGAGATGGCTAAGAAAGTTGCGAAACCTATGGAGAAGCGGAACACGTTTCGGGACCGTCTTCTTGTTAACAAGGACAAGAATATGACACTAAAGGAGCGGCAAAAAAAGGCAAGCAGATTGGAGAAACAAATTGCACCATCTCCGGGTTACGCTGCTGCAAGAAAAAGTCTGACGACTGGGGAGTTGCAGGAGAACAACAATACGTCCAAAAAACAGGTTTCCAACAACCACGTTGCTGAGATCAGAGGAAATCCTACGGCAGTGCAGCCTAAGGCGGCAGTCGCGATGTCGGAAAAGAATGTTTCGGCGTCTGCTCAAAAGCGTGCTGGTCGTCCTTCACACCCTCCTGAAGACTTGTCGTCCTCAATGACATACGATGCAAGGGAGATAGTAAATGGCACGAAAGAGGCTGCATCGAGGGTACCTATTGCTGAACGGGAAGTGTCGGACGAACGTAGGACAGAGATTCAGCGCAAACGCTTACACGAGCAGGCGAGACGAGACGGACACGACATAAGCAAAATTGAGCGTGGCGCACTGCTAAAACGTGTGAATGATGAAGAGAAGCAACGCCAAGAAGTGTATTCGCTGGAGAGAGCCAAATTGGAATGCGAGTTAGAAGCAAAAAAGGTTCAGTTGCTGTTTGAAAAGGCTGCCGCACGTCAAAAGCTGGATCAGCTCGGAGTATCGCAAGCAGAGATTGACCGCATCTTCCCACTATAACATTTGGATCACGAGATGTAAAAGTATATGTGCAGGCTAAATGAATATGACAGTGCTCACAAGGGCAATCAATACATGCGATGTTTACAAAGTAGTTGACGAAGCTGCTAGTTTTTTCGGCATCTCTATTTCATACTATGTTATCTACTCACTTGTGGCATCCAACCTTGTGCAATCTCCAATCTGTCTTCTGGCATTCAGGACTGCAGTAAAACTGAGCCTTGCATCGAGAGCATCGCAACGTGCCATTTTTCGAGCAGCGGTCAGCACCGCAAATGCGCTGAATTGATCCAGGTAGCATAATCTTGCCCGAAGTCTTAGCACGAGCTAAAGCAGCCCCTTCGGCCGCTCTTCCATTACCTGTCGCAGACGCAGCAGACTGCAACTTAGCCATTTCTACCCATGGAGCATCACCCGACACTTCACTTAACCGAAAGTCCATGCGCACAAAGTCATCATCTGCAAGGAACATTCCATAAGAACGAATTATTCAATATTAGAAGTATTTGTGCTCACCGTTGTCAAATACACGTGCGATAAACGCGTCGCCTTTTACCTCCAAAATCTTTCCACATGCCTGAGCAATCGCCGACGCGCGGACATTGGTAGGTAATGCCTTGGCTGTGCCTTTGTCATCTACGTACATATTGATACCCACGTGCTTAACATCTGGTGTATTTAATACAAGCGGGATCGCATCCACAAGACTATCCATTTGCAACATCATCTGTAGCATCTCATCCGTCAGTGTGGCACCTTTGGGCAGTTGAGTCAGCAATTGCTGCTTGAACGTCTCATCTTGTTGCAGCTTGGAAGTTGCAGTAGCACTACTCTTGAAATGGTCACGGAGACGCTCAGTGAGACATCCTAGTTGTGCCTTTTTGTCTTGCGGAAGCTTAACAGTCCACTCTTCTAGGCCCTTGGCTTCATCTGCCGGTATGTATACCACGAAGAACGAGTCACGCTCAGACATATTCTCACCAACCAGACTTTTTACATTAATTTTTTTGCAATTATGTTGCGCGTGTGTGACCGCACTTTTGTATTGTGAAACAACTCTATGTTGCTCAAAATGATCTCCTATGGCGCAACCTAAACAATGTGCATGGATATGCAGAGGATTACTTTATTAATCATAGAGTAAAACTGGTAATTCGTTTGCTTAATAATTGCAGCTTTATGATGACAAAACAAGCTATTTACTCCGACATTTGCACTTCCTTCAACTGCCAGCTCGGCTCACTGTTACGCTTTCTCTTCCTTGCCGATGTTTTATTCCTTTTAACCACTGCAGGTGTTCGTATTGCCACAACCGGATTAATGATTTGACTACTCATTTTGCCCGCTTTTTCACAGTCTTCATTCCTAGCAGCATCGATAGCCGCAACATCTTGAAACTCGTCACAGTCTGTTGTCTCAGCGTCCGACAACCCAGATGGGCAATTGAGAACGTAACGTCTCATAAAACGATCGATCCATGTGTCTGACACGACAAAGCCATCCATAACTACTTCCAATTGATGCACCAACTCATTAGCCTTGTCTCGCATTTTGGTTACTGTAACAGCTTCATCGTTGACAATCTGAATCTCCAGCCAATGCAGCATAGCCTTCTCTACATGCGGGCACTTGATCAGCTTCTGCTTGACTAAAGCAAGTGAGTTTTTAGTCTTCGAAACGCGGGGCTTAACAAGTTTACCACCTTTGCGCAAGACAACGGAAATCGTTGGCTGCGACGGCACAAAGCCCAACTTGAACGTGTCAGCTACCCACTGGCCCAACTGCCTTTGACTCCACTCTGGTTGCATATCACTCTGACGTAGAATTGCCAGTTTCTGCTCCTTTGTTAGCCGCGGGCGTCGCTCCATACTGAATGGCTTCGATCCTGAACTGACACCAATTTTGCTGACGTTTTATCAGCATTTTTAATTACAGCAGAACTGTAAAATGATGATGACTTTGCTAGTTTCCACATTAACGTTACATATGCCACCCAATTGCATACATATATTTAGCCGAACGCAACTGCCAAATAGTGAATGCTGGGTCCTATACGTTTTGCTGGCTGCTCCTCTTTCGTGTTCATCATGTGGTCAATGTTCTTGTTTTTTAATCCTTTTTATATGTGTTTGCTAAAAAATATTTGTAAAATGCACGAGGGAGGAGCTATAAACCTCATTGTGAAGTGTCACACGTAAATGTGCACCTTTGCATTGTAGAGAACAACACGCACTATTTAATTTAAAGCTGCATTCGATCGGGCAGAAACTTTTTGACAAACATCGATAACTACGAAGAGTTTGCGATGGAAAACTGATCATATGCATGTCGATTTCTCACTATTTCTTGATAGCATCCAAAATATTTGACAGTACTGAATACGTTTTACGATTTCGTATTATTAGGTCGTCGGCATAAAATTACGAATCAATTGACTCGAGCATCAATGTAAAGCAATGGTCTGATCACTGACTTGAGGATCTGTGCCTTGGTTTTTGTCGCAATAATGAGCTTTCTCTGCATGGTGTATCTTCATGCTGACTTTTGCAGAACCTTTACACCAACTTGCTGATCTTGAAACAGTGATCTTGTCGAACTGTTAATCACGAAAGTGTCTCAGTGTTGATCGCATAGACGTGTGCGTAGTCGATTGTCAATGGACGTTTCTACAGTGTAACGGGGTTACACGTACCCTTGTAAGAAAGTGGCGAATCGCACAATCTTGTGCGACCGTACATAGGTGTGTATTACACAAGTTAGCTACACCGTGGCAGAATTTCCAGTAGTAATGCATATTACTTTATAATTAGGGAACCTACGGTTTTAGATATTGGCAGCACTAGCCGCAACTAAAACAATTCAATACAGTTCAATTTTAACAGAAGTGTTCGTTTGCCTTGATTAAGGCTTTAGTACTTAGAGGTAGCGGATTGCAATCCGCTACACTCGTGCTGGTTATTGAAAAGAACTTAAGGTCAGTGACCTTAGCTGAGCTTCCTTTAATCATAGAGCTACTGCAGCCCCGCTGCACTTGGTAGCACTAGTAGTCACTCTACGCCTGAGTGGTTACGACTGATCCTCTGCCCCTGTGAGGATGAAAAAATAACCTAATTGTCCTAGGGCATGCAGAACAGGATTAATAAGCTGCTGTCCTTGCTGGGCCCTGAGGGCGTGAAGCACCTCGTTGCGCATGGGCCTGAGGTCATAAGCACGCGCTTAGAGGCGTTTACAAGTTATGAAATGCTCTGATAAAGTACTTACAGCGAGATCTACCAGCGTCAACTGCGTCCATTATATCATCGTTGATGAAGGATGATTCCTTCGGACCCAGGCCGCTCATGGTGAGCGCGAATACATTCGAGAGTGGGGACGGAGAGAATCTCCTGCTCTAGGTGAGAGAGGCCCAGATGGCTATGGCATTCGTCATGTTCCAAAACGAGCAACAGCGCGTGGCGCTAGCTATCTCTAAGCGCAGGGGCCGAGCGGAAGAATGGGCATTACGTGCGGTGCTTCTGTTGAAGCTGCGTTACCCTCCTGGAATGAGCTGTAGTGTCAGCTTTTGCGGGTGTTCTCGCCGCCTAAATAGGCATATCGCGTGAGGTCGCGTTTTCTTGCTGCCCTTCAGGGTAAGAAGGAGTTAGTGGACTTTGTCCAAGAGTCGAGAGCTCTTATTGCTGGGATGACAGCAGATCCTCTTCCCGAGGCGGTCGCAGTGGCCATCTTTATGGAGGGCTTCCGCACTGTCATGGCCAGAATGGAAGCCTTCCATGTGCATCCGTCTTGTTTTAAAGAAGCGGTGAACGTGGCATTGAATACCAGTTTCAACTTCAAGTCGGCACGACTTGGTTGGAGTGCATATCTCAGAGCTCGTTGAGCGATCCCGAGCCAAAGGATCCCACCTATGCTGAAAAGAAGGAGGGAGAGCTCCGAGCTGCTGAGCAGCGTGTAAACGCCCGACGGTGTTTTGTCGGTGGAGACATCCGTCACCTTCAGACTGGTTGTCTCCTGCGCAAGATGCGTAAAGGTTCGTCGAACCGACGTCCCGCTTCTAACCAGTATTGGTTGACGCGGGGAAACGAGACCACCCAGTAGGCGCGAGGTACCCTTTGGAGGAGAACTGATTTCTGTTGAGCCTTAAAGAGGTAGAGGGCAGCAGGGTCCAGCCCCGAAGAGCCGAATGCTCTTGAGCACGAAACGTGTATGAAAGCCGGGCTTAGCTGGTCGCTAAAGCGTCAGTGAAG